TGAAGCCAGTTCTCCTTTTACATTTACCAAAGGAGGTATACTCACTTTGGCCTGTCTCTTCTGGCCAATGTACCTGTGGAATGTCTTCCTGTTGTTTTTCACGTCCCTCACCAAGTTCAGTTCTGCCTGTGCCTTGTCTTTCCTAATCCCATGTCTTCAAGTCTGGATGGGTTTTTGTTGTTCTTTTTTTGTTTTGTTTTGTTTAAGTATTGATTGGCATGCTCTGTTACATAAAGTACATTTTCTTCTTTTTGTTTTCCTGCGGACATATACAAATACACACTCTGGTGATGTGGTAGTCATGCTAAATGTGTACGCGGTAAACAAGCTTAGATCTAGTGATATTAAGTAGCAGAAGTACGTTCCACCCCTCCTTCATTCTGAAGGCGCACTGCTACTATTTTTGCTGCATCTGCTTTTGAATATCCAGAATGAAGATGGAGATGAGGATAGTTCATGGTAAATCCAGTGACGTCTTCTGATTAGTCCTAAAAATAAATAAGTAAATAAATAATCCACTATTTCCCTTTTTCCTTTCCCCTCTTTCTTTTTTCATCTAAATTATTTAACATACACTGATTATTTTGACTGGCTATTATGTAATCTTTTGTATGTTTCAGGAATCTTGTTTGTCATCTCATGTTACTGAACTTTGAAAATGGAAATCTTAGCTAATTAATATTGTTATGTATTTTATGAGTGACCTCGGGATGCTGGAACTTAAGCATTAGGACAATCTGTTTGGTTCAGAAAGATGTTTCCTGGACAAATAACTTATGTAGATAGGTTGTATTTGAGGTGATAGAGGTGTTTTAATTTGTTCCTGGCTTTCTTTGTTACAATATACTTCTATTACCAAATCAAAGTTGATTTAGGGTATGCTAATTGGGGCAGAATATGGTCACGATAAACTTCTAGTAGGAAGGAAAAGGGTGAGATGTGTTACATTTATGAAATATTTTTAATACTTAACATTTTCCTTTTACAAAGGAACTTATCAAGAAAGCGTTAATGGAGGAGCAAAAACGAAGTGAAAAGGCAATCGAAGAAGCTGTTAAAAGGACAAGAGAGGAACTAATGGAATATATTAAGGAGCAGAAAAGGGTGAGTTACCTGAGGCTAAAGGGTTTTATTTCTTGGAGTGAGAAATCTTGAAATCTGTCTCGAAATTCACAAAAAAAAAACCAAAAAAAAAAAAACAGAATCAGGAGTAATATCTTTAGATTTGTCAGTTTCTTGTAATATAACATACTTCTACATGTCAATCTACAGAATTTTGGTTTTTTTGCAAATCAAAAGGCAGAATAATAAAATGAATAAATTAGCTGGTTTATTAACTTTTTTCTTTAGGAAATTCTATAACAATCTGTCCTTAATTTCTTAGATTTCTGCTATCTTCAGGAATGGAGACCTCCATTTTCTTTCCACCTACATCTACAGTTAGAGCTCCTTGCCTTTATTCCATTTTCTGATTGCTCTCAATCTTTCTTGTCCTTCTGAAGTTTTCACAAATAAGAGAAACAAAGAAAATACCATATTCAAAGAAACAAAATTGTTTTTTATTTATCTAGTAGGAGCAGCATTTCCAGTTGTTTCACAGAGTTCTTGAATATCAAGTTATTGCATTAATTGTTTTTTCCTTTATTACTCAATTGCTACATAATTCTATTCAATAAAAAATTTCCTGTCTGGAAACTGAGGACAGTTAGCTTTTTCTGGCATAAGATCTATAAAATTACTGTATTTAAGATCAGATGGGAAGATATTTTTATCTTCAAATCATTACGCATGGTAGCTTTTTTATGTTTATATAAGAGATATAATAAATAGGCCTTGATCGAAGGCCACGCCCTGTCAGAGTAAAAAAAAATATATATGCTTTATGAACTACACTAAAAAACAGCCTGTGGAAAGAATTTTCTAAAATAGTTCAGTGAAAACTCGTAGCTTTCATATTTTTTTTTTCCTTGAATTATTTGGAGAGTTCCAGTTATACCTTTACGAAAGTAGCATACCTTTCATCATTGTTTTTAAAACAAATTTTAGAATCCTTCAAGCAAAACTACTACAATATCTGTACCTGGTTAGCAGTGGTTAAGCAATTTAAGAAAAGAGCAAATTCTTATCCAGAAACTTCATCTTATTTTGTAATAGCGTAAAATACATTTTTTTTTACTCTGTGGTAAATGCAATATTGTATGGGAACTGTTGAACCACACTGATTGAGCACCTGGGGAAAGCACCTGGTCAGCCCTGAGAGTACAGGTGAAAGCAATTCAGCTGTGTGACCAGAAGAGGTGGAGTCTGGCTCCACCTCTCTTAGACCTCATTTAAGGGCTGACTGCCAGCGAGGCATCTATGTACATTATAATGGTCTCTATAATAATGGATAAAGAGGCAAAGTTGCTTTGGAGGTAGATCAGGATTGCATTTTCTTAGAAACCTAGAAAGTATACCCTCAGACTTAAGCATTCTCATTCTCTAACTTGTACTTTGGTTGCATAAATAAAAAAGTTCTTTTTTTACACACGTTTACTTAGAGTTCTGTGATGGGGATGTGCTTTGAGTTGTGCTGATTAACAGTTTTAGACAGCTGTCACTGTTCCAAGATGTAGAGTAGCTGCTCAGTAGGCATTGCTGAGGTATTTCCCTTCTGCTGAAGATGTTCTTTCTGTGTTCCCACCCCTACCCTCAGTTCCTCCCTTTCTCATCCACATTCTTTTATGAAAATAGAAGTATCATGAAGAACTTATACCAATTTTCTGTGTGATGATAGGATTCTTTGAACTAGATTACTTAACTTTCTTTCATTCTCTTTACACAGCACTCTTCAACAATACATTTTCCTCATCAGTATTCTTTTAACGTAAACTCTTTAGAGCTGTTGTAGGTTTCATAAAATTATGGAGTAACAATATCATATGTATAAAATTTGTCCGTACATATGATGAAGTTATAAAGACACTATTTCTTTATTAATTAGTTTAGCACATGATATTTTTGACTTTGTTACCTAGAAAGAAGTCTCTCAGTATCAGTGGAACAAAAAGTTACTTATCTCTTTGACTATATTTTCTCAAGGGCGGATGAACAGGAAGCATGGATTGTTTTACAAGAAATGAGAGGTTGAGAAGATAAACATTAAGTGGGGAAATGAAAAATTAAGAAACAATATCATAAAGGTAAAATGCCCAGTGTAAGGATAGTGTTACTATTTACTATGCATTCAAGCCAAAGTGTCTAAATCAAGTGGGGAATGTCGTCAGTTCTTCACCTTTAAAGATTAAAGGACATTGCAAACTAAAATAGAAAAAGAAAATCCAATTGGTAACGTATCGTTTGAAAAAATGAATGAAAGGTAGACAATGTGATCTCATTATGATCTTTTAATATTCCAAATATAGTCCCTGGTTTTTTTAATAGCACTAATTTGGCAGTAGCTCATTGTATATACTTCAGTTTTCTTTTACTTGTTGCATTTTCAAGGAAGATTTTTTTACTAGAAAAATGTTTATGTTGCTGTGAGAATCTACATATCTAAGTTATGAAGGATGTTCTGTGGAAATTTGACCCATTATTATTTTGTAATTACTTTGTAACTACTGCTGTTCCCAAGTGTTCTACAAAGCTGAAATATAAAATAATGCTGCTATATCTGGTGAAAGAAATCTTCAAAAGCTATCAGATTTGTAGAGGTTTATATAAACCTTCATGATAACTTAAAGAACTTTTCTGAGTCAAATTTTAATATACTTGTTACAGCCAATAGCCAGAATTATTTTTTCATCAGAGGTACATCCACACTAGGTCCAAAAAATATCTTTATTAATTTTCTGAAATTTTGTTTGACTCTGTAGTATTGGTAGGTCATTGTTTGAACAGAAGTACTGAAAGCAAAACTATGCTTGACTGTCTTGCTAGAGTAAGGAAGAAATGAGTAGAGGGCAGTGAATTGTAACACAGATGAAAAAGAAGGCAGGCACTAAAGTAGGATTAAATAACAAGCCACTACTTTAACTTTAAATTATCATAAAAATAGACGTTATTTCTAGATTATATCCAGTGCATAGATATAACACAGTACTGAGTGCCTCTTATATTAATGAGACTTGGATATAGAGGGAAGCACTTTGGTTAAAAACAATAAAGAAGAACTTTTCTGTGAGTATCCACATTTGTCTTTTTTGACATAAGCTCAAGATTTACTAACTAATTTGCCAGTGTTGTCTTTTGTGGTTTGAAACTCATAATCCTATAACCTCTGGACTTGCATTTCTGACTGCTCTGAAAATAGTGAGAACTATGACAGACCCCAGTGTTTTGAGTGCCCCAAGATATAGTAAATCACATAGGCCAGCCATTCAGACCCGCTGTGCATGTGTTGTTAATTGGATGGAGAATGCTCTTCCAGTTTTTGCATTGTTTCTAAAAAATCTGCTGTTTGTTTTCATATTGATTGTATCTGAAGAGGTTCCCTGGTAGTAGGTGTAATAGCTGTTAGTTTCTTTTTTCCTCAGTCTGTTTTGCAAAATGCTGGTGTAGTAGTATATATTTATATGTTGGTATGTAGGCATATGTATAGGTATACGTATTACTAGGAGAACATGGCAAGGAATTTAATAGCATGTAAAATCTAACCTTTTATTACAACTCCCGAACTGTTATCCGTGGACTATGAGATAAAGACACAGCAGGTGACTTACCTCAGACCTGTACAACTGTATTACTTTTGTAATAATTTTGGTTAAAAATTTCATTAATGAGTATGTGGTGCTCTTCTAGGAATATAATAAAATGCTTCTTATGTGGTCTTAATGTGACACTTTGGCTACTTTGGCTCATTCTGTGAGCACTTTTTGCTTTAGTATTGGAGTAATGAATTAAGCGAACAGAAGCATAACTTTGTTCCAAAGTGCTGACTTTTGTAAGCAGTTTCAAGGAATTTTCACATCTGTTGTTTGCTCCCATGTGCAATGTAATTAATTACAAGATTGACTTAAATTTTTGATATACATTGTAAGTATTCCAAGTCTGTGGTTAGAAGAATAAAAGAAGCATGGTAGGTTCCTGTGTAAAGTGATGCTTAGACAACACCTTTGCCGTAGCCTTTTGTTTACATTCAGACTCCTTTTCACCCCTGCGAAGTGCAGGCTGTAGCACATGCAACAGTTCATGGAACTGTAGAGCAGGACATACTATATAGAGACAGTCCAAGTCACCTGATTAACAGGAATAAGAATTAATTTATGAACCAGGAACAAACTTGCAAACAAATTGTAAAATAACAGGAAAGCAGTATCTGAAAACAAAATCAATATTGATATTGGATTGTACTAAGCTCCCATGCTTCTTAATTTTACTTTGAAGCAGTGAAACCATTCATAAAGGCCATGTTTTGTCTTATTTGTACTCATAATGTGGAATTGCAGATTTTTCTTTGTATGCAAGGCGTTTGGTGCCTGCAGGAAATTTCTGAATGTTATGTTTTATGACTAGTTGAGATTTTTTTTTATTAAATTGCAGGCAGAAAGCAAGAAGAGAAGCTTAATAAATATTAAAGCTAAGCAATATTAAAATAATTCAAAAGTCTTAAATGATTGAAATAAGTGAATTTTGTTTACTGCTTTCAACTGAAATAGTTGATATTTTCAATATTAAAAACTACTAAATTGGTTTATGGGAATTTGGGTAAATACTGTAGCTGGTAGTCAAACAGCATTTTCTGTTTCTAGCAGATGAAATGGTGTAGAGATCCAGGTGGATTCCAGCAGTGACACATAAATATTTTAAAATAAATTATGCATTTGTTTAGTAATTTTTTGTGGGGCCTTATATACTTGTTTTGCCAGTGGACAGGGTCAGCACAAAGGTCACAGAAACCAAGTTAAAGAAGTATATTTATTTTTTCTGAAGTTTAAAGCAATGAGATAAGAAATGAAATGATACAACAAGAATAAAAGAGAGCAAGGCAATGCACCTAAGCACTACTTCATGAGGATAGCAATGGTGATCAGGAAAGATACATCATCAGTTGTCCTAATATTTTACCATAATCCAACTCCACTGTTGCTGGGGAGGCCCTGTTGCAGTGAGGACTTGGAGAG